GTAGTTTGGCCTTTCCCGGTGCCATGTAGCTGGAGTCTGCAGGAACGGAACTTTTCACACTGGCTTTCCTCACTTGGTGCTGTGCATTGAAAGTTCCTCTGTCTTTCTGTGACTTCTGATTATGGTAAAATATGCATTGCATTACATTTATTGCTTTAGCCAATTTTAAGTGCACAGTTCAGTGGCATTTAGTACAGTAACAGTGTCATGTCCCCTTCACTGTCACCTCGTCCCAGAATCTTTTCATTATTCCAAAATGAAACTATATCAGTTAAACAGTAAAAGTTTTTAGATGTTAAATAGTAACCCCCTTCCTACCCTTCTCCCCCAACCCTTGCTCTGCTTTGCGTCCATCAGTTTGCCTTCTCGGGGGACTTCCTATAAGTGGATTCAGACAGTATGTGTCCTTGCGTCCAGATCACTTCACTTAGTACAGTGTCTTCGGGGTTCCTCCATGTTGGAGCGCATGTCAGAATTTGCTTTTTAAGTAAATTGAGTAGTTTTCCTGTGTGTGGACATGCCGCGTTGTTTATCCATTATCTGGCATTATCTGTGGCTGCGGCCTTTTATGTTCCCCCTTCTCCAACCCTTGTCATTTTCTGTTTTGGGGTAGTTTCCACCTTTGGGGATGTGACTGTGTTTTACTTTTGTTTTAAATACAACATATTGAGCTATAAGGTTACATAATTTAACTTTTCATAATGGGTGCCTAACAGACATGCTTAAACATTTCAGTCAGCTCTGGAGCGTGGGTGGAGCGGCTCCAGCCCCTGCCTGACTGCGGCACACAGATGTGAACATGTCCCGGCAGGCGAAGTTCCTGCACACAGTGGGGTCATTCTTTACCACACAGTAACAGTTGGGGACAACTACATTCCAGATCTACCTGCAGAGAGTATATGCTCCTCCTCTTCTTTTTTCTAAAAAATTAATTTTAATTTGACCAGAGAGGGACAGAGAGAGAAAGTGAGAAAGCAAGCCAGCAGGCCCAGGACTCAAACTGCAGTCAGCCATGTGAGAGTCCAGCGCCCTTAACCACCATGCCACCTGCAGGTCCCTACATGTTCTTACTTTAAAAAAAAAAAAAATCCGCTTCCTTTAGGTGGTATACTGAGTTGGATGAGCATTTCCCAGAAAAGAGCCAGCACTCAGGCCTCTGGGACATTGGAGGAAAAGCTGCAGAGAGTATATGCTCCTCCTCTTCTTTTTTCTAAAAAATTAATTTTAATTTGACCAGAGAGGGACAGAGAGAGAAAGTGAGAAAGCAAGCCAGCAGGCCCAGGACTCAAACTGCAGTCAGCCATGTGAGAGTCCAGCGCCCTTAACCACCATGCCACCTGCAGGTCCCTACATGTTCTTACTTTAAAAAAAAAAAAAATCCGCTTCCTTTAGGTGGTATACTGAGTTGGATGAGCATTTCCCAGAAAAGAGCCAGCACTCAGGCCTCTGGGACATTGGAGGAAAAGCTTTCATTTGTGACTGTCCTGGTGTCCCTGCATCCACCATGGGGACTGGCAGCCCCTTTCCAGGTCATGCTAAATGGCCCAGTGCTCTCCTCCAGGGCCTTCTGGCCCGGTCCTTCTCCCTGGGGCATGAGATGACCTGAGCTGTCTTCTCGTGATGTTCCTGGAGGGAGAGTTGGACTCAGAGGGGGACTGAGCCAGAATGCAGCCCGGTCTGCTGTCCGAGGTCCGAGTATCAGATGTGTTCTGGTGCTTTGGCAATTTCAGACCCTAGGTGCAGGAAGGCGGGTGGGAGAGCCTCCCAGGGACACGTGACTGGTCTGCCTTGTGCCTGGTGATGCTGCAAGTGCCTGCTGGTCACCGTGGAGTGGATTAGAGGACAGCACCGGCATGTGTGTGAGCATGTGTGTGAGCACGTGTACGCACACTCCCTGCCGCTTTGTAGTTCTGATGTCATCTGCATTCAGCGGCCTGGGGCCCGTTCTTGCCGCCAGCGCTTTTTATGGCTGGGTTGCAGCCGATGGCTGACATTAGTGTCCCTCATGGTTTTTGGGGCATGGTGATTTTTGTTAAGTACTTTCTAATTTTTCATGAGCTCAGGATTGCAAAAGTACAAGGAATCTACTCTCTAACTCAGTTTCTTGCGGGAGCAAACACAGGATTATTGACCTGCCATCCAGCTGGGGAGAAGTTGCAGTGGGAGCCTCCCCACTTCAGTGGGCGGCTATGGCATTTCAGCTACCGAGGGCTGCCAGTACCGGAGACCTGGCTGTTACCACGCTCCAGCCTAAATCTTTATGCTGCAGAGTCTTGCACTCAGCCACCTTCCAAACCCCAAAGCCGTATTTTCATCTCTGAGGAGTTAGAGGGACTCGGCTGGCACAGTCAGTGCTCAGGAGCCAGGTGCTGTCATGTGACAAGGAGTCCGGCTCCGGCGTTCCCTGCCGACCCGCAGCCCTGCCTGCCCGAGTCTCTGTGCTCTGCCACAAGACAGAAGGGACACGCTGGCCAGTTGATTTCCTCCCCTCCAAGGCCCAGTCCAGGATGAGCGATATTTCCGCTCCAGCAGCCCCCTTCGGGTTCCAAGTGGAAGCAAAGCCTTCTTCTTGTATTGCTTCAAGGAGAAATCAGAGGGTGCTGGGAGCTCAGAACTTTAGGGACTTTCAGATCATTTAGATCAGCGGCATCCCCCCACCCTTCCCCCCAATGGGGCTGGGGCCCAGGGCCCTGCAGTGGAGGCTGCCCCAGCCCCTTGGACCCTGCCAGCAACACGCCTAAGCTCCCATTCCTCCACAGCCTTCCCCATTCAGGCAGGGCGCATGTCTACACTGGGAAGTAACTTGGTCTAATTGAAATTCCGAAGGGAAGGCCAGAGGCCTGTTCCCTCGGTTTCAGAAGCTGGGACTCAGCGGTGGGGACAGAGCATGCAGTTGGGAAGTCAGCGCTGCCATCGGGCGTTCTGCAAGGACTGGGGCTGAGACACTGTATCATGGGCTCGTCTCACACCCTCCGTGTTCCCCAGAGCCGGGTCTGTGACCATGCGTGTGCAGCTTAGTCCCCTTCCTAGGGTTATTTCCTGCCCGTGTAGCTCTCAGACTTAAGCTCGTACCTTTGCCAGCCATGTTCGTTCCATGCTGGACGTCTGCACACCTGACAGGAGAACACGGGCCTGAGCTCCGGCCTCCCTGCTGCCCCGGGGTCCTCGCTTCACTATCCCCAGTGCGTGCAAGCACAGATGTGTCCCTGTGCAGCACCGAGGCTGGTCCCCAGTGTGGAGGACGGAGCGGGATCTGCACGCCATGGACGGCCTCCATTTCAGGAGTTCACCCTGCTAGGCCCCCTCTGCACCTTCCCCACCCTGGGGAGGTGAGTGTGGGGCGTGGGTGTCTACAGAGGAGCAGCAGCCTGGGAGAGCCCGGCTTGGTGCAGACGCCATGTGTTCGCCATGAAGTCGGCAAGTGCCCTGGGCACAGACTAGGCGGGGGCAAGGGTGTAGAGCAGAGGCCCCTGGCGGTGCCTCATAGGGGTGTGTGGGTGTGCTGAGGCATCGCCACATAGTCCCTGCCTGTCCTCCTTCTTGGGACAGGCCTTCAGTGGGCTGAGCCCTGAGTGCCTTCCCCATCACCTGAGGAGGTCCTGCACGGAGAAGGCCAGGTCCCCCTGTGATCAGTGGGTGCCAGGCACGCCATGGGGGGCTCTGGTGTTGCTCCTGTCTCTGTTACTGTGGAGGCTGAGTTGGGGTGCAGTGAGCTGTGTCCGAAGCTGCAGGGAGAAGTCCCTTGGGTAGAATCCTGAGGGTGGAGGGCAGATCACCCACTCTGGGGCGAAGAGCACCCCCGGGGTGGGAAGGACAGAATTTACCTGCAGTACTTTCTGTGTGGAGATAAGTCACCTAGGCTTTCTAGGGGTGGGTGGGGAGAGATACAGGTACAGTAATCTTAGAATCAGTTTCTTTCTTTTTTTTTTTTTTTTTTTGAGAGGTTTTCTCCTATAGAACGCGTGCGCTCACCAGACAGACAGAGACAGAGAGACAGAGAGCGAGAAATCATCCCCCAGGGGGGATGGCCATGCCACAATCCCTTCTCCATTCTCCTCTCGGGATCTTGGGCATGCACGCACACGCGTCCGGCGTGAGTTTAAGTCACCAGGTCTGGGACTTGAACCGCGGTCGAATACATGGGAGTTCAGTGACATAGCCATTACGCTAACTGCTGGTTCCATAATCAGTCTCAATTAAAAAAATACATCTTACTCTATTTTCAGTCTGCATCATCCAGTGTGTCCCAGAAAATGTGTTCCCTAATAGAAGCTGGGCATGGACACATCCTTAAGTTCAGGAAAGCAGCTGGGTGGGTCGGGGAAGGCCGAGGGTGCGGGGGAGGACAGCTGGGACGGCCAGTTCAGGTCAGAGAGCAGACCGCTGGCTCCAAGGTCAGATCCACCGTCGGAGGGCTCTGTGAGTCCTGCCTGCTCGGTGAGGGCGGAGGTTCTCTGTCCTCAGTCCTCGTTGGACGTGGGACCATCAGGTTAGCATCTTGCTCTGATTCTGCCAGCCGGGCCTTCAGCTCTCCCGCGGCCTGTGGGGAGGGGAGACGGGTGGCGGTGACGGGCGGAGCCTGGTCTGGCGTTCTCCCCACAGGTTTCCCTTTAGTCCTCGCAGTACTAGATTCTCCCGTAGGTGAGGACACTGAGGCTACTCACTGGCACGGCCGGGACATGCGTGCCTGGTTCTGCTGCGTGTGCCAAGTTCTGGTGTTTCTGCTCAGTTCCTGCCCTGATTGAGACCCGCCTTGGCCTCGTGGGCATTTGCTAAGTGTTCTCTGGCAGGGAAGGGCGTGCCAGGGCGCCAGCCAGCACCCTGGAAGGTGAGGGTGAGGCCCCGTGGTCAGCACGTTCTCTGCAGGCGGTGAAACATCGGTGCGATTAGAGCCAGGCATGGGGGGTTTCCTAAATTTTGGTTCCCTCATGGCCCTGGGTGGATGTTTGCGTGGGGCATGTCTAGGTTTGGATCTGATTTATTTTTAATTTTTATTTCAGGATATAACTTGGCAAGATGAGCACTCTGCCCCTTTCTCCTGGGAAACAAGGGTAAGTGGTTAAATTTAGAAGCATTTGTCCTTTCAGGAAGAATGGCGTCTGTGTTTTTCTTGCAGCATCTGATGGACTGAGATTGCAGTGGCGCCCACTGCCCAGTGGAGACGGGGGCGTGGACAGGAGTTCGGAAGCTGCTGCTGGTGATGAGATTCGGAGCAGTGGTCAGGATGTCAGCCAGGGCCTTGCAGCACCCCACAGCGCCCCGTGACTAGGGCTCCCAGCAGCCTGCTGATGGGGTCACCCTGCTAGGCCCCCTCTGCACCCTGGCAAGACGCGCGCCATGTGCCACCCTGAGCAGGTGCTGAGTGGCGAGCCGGCCGGTGCACGAGTGCTCACGTCGGCTGGCGCGTCCGGGGCGCGGTGCTGACTCCTCCCAGTCACCCTCGTCGCCTCACCACCACTGCCGGCGCTGCTGAGGTGCATCACGCCTAATGGGCTTTACCATTTCCCGCATCTCCCGAGTCTCCCCAGGTGCATTAGAGGAGCGCAGTGACTGAGAGGGGGGTCTCTAACCTGAAAGGAAGTGGAAGACCAGGATGTTCTGAGTCCCGGTACACTCGGGGCCCTGTGTGGAGGGTTCTCTCCACGGTGGGGGGTGCAGTGGGGGGCCTGGGCTAGGGCTCAGACTGCAGTGGTCCGATCAGCATCTTTGAGCTGAACCTCGAAGGGGCTTGATCCCTGGCTTTCACCTGTCCCACAGTTGTTGGTTCAAGCCCATGCCCAGCTGCCGTGGATGTCCACAAGCCTGTGAGGAGTCGGGCAGGGTGGGGTGAGCAGTGGAGAGCCCACAGGGACCCTGATGCCCTCACACAGGGGCTGGGTCTTACGTGAACCGTGTGATGGGTTCAGCTGGGCAGGGCGTTGCCGGGCTCTGTGCCTCAGACAGAATTTGGTAGCAGTCGCTGATGCCTGGTGAAGCGAGCTGGCCTCAGGACAGGGAGGCAGGTGCCAGCTGAGGCCGTTGGTACCCCATGTGAGAAGTGGCTTGGGGGAACCCACGTATTCATTCGGATGAAGGTGCATGGAGAAGCGGCAGTCTGTCTGCCTTCGGGACATCCCCGCAGGGGCTCCTGAGCACCCTGAAGATGAAGATGCAGGCCGTGTCTGCTGGGTGTCCCGTCCCTTAAGTCCGCTGCTGACTGTAACTGACCAGGGTCTGTGCAGAGCCCAGAGTCTGGGCAGTGGTCCAGGGGCAACTGCGTTCTGCTTGGGGAGAGCACTTCGGGTCGAGGAGCAGCCTGGAGTTACGGCAGCTCGGAAGTCCCAGGACGGGTCCCGCATCTCCTGACACTGCAGTGGAGGCTCTAGTGGGCGGGAAGCCCATCATTCCACTGGTGTTCAGTTGGGTCTCCCATGCTCCCTTGTCAGAGCTCCCCAAATGAGACGCGCTAATGCCACAGACGGCTCTAGCCACAGTCACCAGTACTCTGCCCTGGGCATAGACAGCTTGGGTGTGGTGCCCGGGGGCTGGGCAGGCTATCCCGAGCTGGGCTCTTTGATGATGGTGAAGGAAGGGCAAGACCGTTTCAGTGTTGTAGGACCTAAGCCGTCAAGTGCCCCACGAGAGCACTTGTCCTTGTTACGGGTTCCAAGTCGGCTCTTGTGGAACGGGACAGTTCATCTGTCATAACTTGGCAGTGACATTCTAGGACAAACGTCGAGCAGTTCCTGGAGCCACTGCTGACACAGGCACGGCCTCAGCCCGTGGAAAGCGTGGAAAGCAGATCCCGGAGCTAGCCTGAGGGCACAGAGGGATGGCTAGCCCCTGGTGGCAGCACATTGATGCTGGCTGTCCACAGGTGCCAGGCAGGTGTCCGGCATCGGTGTGGGTGGAGATGTGTGTTGCCACTTTACCACGCGGTCACAAGTGAGGTCGTGCGAGGCTCCGGGGCGTGTTCTAGTGCCCGTCCTCTCTGGTGCTCGGTGAGAGCCCCAGTGTATCCAATAGACAGGTGGGCTTCCTCTTTCCGGTCTTTCTCCCCAGGGAAGAGTTCCTACCGTCAGTGTCAGAGCTGCTACAGGCGACATAAAGGGGATCCCAGATGGGAGGGATCTGTCCTTCCTTCCGTCTCTTAGCCCATGCTGAGTTTTGGAAGCCCCCTTCTCTGGCCTCCTTTGCCTGAGCCCCACCCACGTGCTCCCTGCATGCTCTGCCTCCCTGCCTTTGGGGATTTGCCACACTCAGTCAAGACTTAGGGACTCACAAGGCCCTTGTGGAGAGCCACAGATGGAAGAGGACCCTAGTGAGGCCGGGCCCTCCCCTTCTCCGGCCTCCTTTGCCTGAGCCCCACGTGCTCCCTGCATGCTCTGCCTCCCTGCCTTTGGGGATTTGCCACACTCAGTCAAGACTTAGGGACTCACAAGGCCCTTGTGGAGAGCCACAGATGGAAGAGGGCCCTAGTGAGGCCGGGCCCTGGATCTCCGAGGTCAGGGCTGGGGCTCAGCTGTCCCTCTGCCATCCTCACTCTCTGAGGTGTGTTCACGCATAACAGACACCCCACTCTCAGTGACCTAAGCAGCGTGGTGTGCACTTGGTCTGCAGTGCGTGTTCTGGGGCTCAGCATAAGGGCGGTTCTGTGGCCTTGCCCTGGATCACTCAGGTGTCATCCAACAGCCCAGTGGGAACTAGGTGCTTTAGAGAACTCGCACAGGACGGCAGTCGGTGTTGGTCTTCCGCGAGCCACCTGGGCTTCTGCACATGCTGTGGGGGGTCTGGGAGGGTGGGGGCTGGAGGCAGGAACTCGCGTGGATTCACTTCTGCTTTGTCCTGCTCATCAGTCAAGGCACAAGCCAGGCCCACGCATGGTGCGAGGAAAGAGATCACACCTCTCGACAGGAGTTGTGGAGAATTTGAAATCCGTTTTCAATTTAAGATTCCATACTCAGAGAGCTATGCCTTTTCACTCTATTTTATTTTATTTTTTTTTTGGTTTGTTTTTGGAGAGAGATTTTTACTATAGGGCACATGTACTTGCCAGAGAGACAGAGATAGAAAGTGAAAACTCGCCAGCCCCCCGGGGGAATGGCCACACGGTAGTCCCTTCTCCTCTGTTCTCTTGGGATCTTGGGCACGCACGTGCACACGCCCGGCGTTGTTCATTAAGCTGCTAGGTCTAGGACACGAACCGTGGTTGATTACGTGGGAGTCCAACGACGTAACCGTCACGCCTTCTGCTGGTTCCATCTCACTCTGTTGTTACTCCTAGGCCATTCTTTCCATTTTCAATTCGTCACCCATTGACTTTTTGAATTTTTGTTATTTATTCATTTAAGGTTTTTGCCATAGGGCATTTGTACTCACTGAAGAGAGAGGGAGAGAGACAGAGAGAGGGAAAGGGAGAAATCATGCCCTGGGGGGAATGGCCACACTGATCCCTTCTCGCCTTGGGGATTTGGGCACCACACACGTGCCTGGTAGGATTTTCAAGGCGCCAGGTCTAGAACTCAAACCACAGTCGGCCATGTGGCAGTCCAGCGCCTTTACCTACACACCGCCTGCTGGCCCCTGGTTGTGATTTCGGTTGTGGTAAAATATAACGTGAAACTGTCCATCTTACTCATTTTTCAGATTGCTGGAGGGCTTACACACTTGCCAGAAAGAGAAGAGGAGGAAGCACCCTGTGCGGTGTGGGCGTGCGGGTCCCTTTCCTGCGTTGCCCCATCCCGTCAGGGTTCGGGGCTAGTACGGGCTCCTGGCGTGTTTCCAGGCTGCGGCTGCCATGTGGGATCTGGTCCCTGACACTGCTTAGCCCCTTGCGGTGGAGCCGCCCGTCAGCCTGTGGAATGTGCAGGCTTGGCTCGATGTGGTTCCCGGTGCTGCGCAGATTCGCCACTGCCCCTCAGAGCCCCTCATGTGTGAGACACTGTCCCCACGCAGCGCTGGCTCCATATCACCCTCCCTGAGGCTCTGGCAGCCCATCACTGTCCCTGTGGTCCCATCATTGTTTTCATTCGGTGGACGTTCACTGTGCACCCACTGCGTGTCAGAAGTGCAGCAGGCCTGGAGCTGAGTAGCTCTTCTGCGGCCAGCTGTGAGCGGGCAGCTGTCCTTGGTGGAAGATCTCTCAGAGAAAGGCCGGCCAGAATCATGCCTCCGGCATTTCCCTGCCTGTTATTGCATATCTGAGCACCTGGAGGTCGGGCTCTTGGGCCTTCCTCCAGCGGGTCAGTTCGCAGACGCTTGCCGGGCCAGCAGTGTGCCTGGCTCTGCCCACTGCCCTGACTGCCCAGTCCGACAGGCAGGTCACCTGAGTCAAGGGTCACCTGACCCAGCTGGCGATGGTCCAGAGTAAACCCACGGAGTCCTGGCTTCTCTCGCGGTGGCCGTTCCTGCAGCCTGGCCTCCTTGTTCTTGGCCTGCCCAGGACCTTCCGCTTGCACACAGAGACCTGGTGCCGTGTGCGGGGCTGCGGCTGCTGCCCTGGTTAAACCCAGCCGTGGTCAGGAGACTGATGGCGTTGGCAGGTGCTACGTGGTCTCTGTTGCAGCTGTGAACCCGGCTTCTTGTTTTTTAAATTGTTGTTGCTGTTGTTTTTAGTTTTTGCTATAGGGAACTGGTGCTTGCCATAGGTAGATGGGGGTGGTTTGAAAGCATTCTGAGAGGGGATATCCATGCCATGCTGCAGTCCCTTCTCCTCCTCCTCCTGTAGGAATTTTGGGCAAGCATGCACATGCACCGGCCATGGGTCCATACTCGAACCACTCGGTCAGCCCTGTGGGATCCAGCCACCTTCACCACCATGCCACTGGCCGGCTCAAACCCAGCTCCTGTGAGCCCCGCTGGCCCCTCCGCCCTGTCTCTCAGAAGTTGCTTCCTCCTGAGGCTGGCGCTGTGGGGCCTCTTGCTCGGACTCCATCCGTCCTGGAAGGGAGGCTCAGAGGGAGGCCTGCCTGTCCCTGTGGGGGCATGGTTCATCTTCACTCAGCCGTCAGCCAGGCAGGCACTCTGGGGGAGAGTGTGCCGTGGGGATCCGACATCGCATTCCTCTCTCAGG